GCGCGGTGCCCTGCGCCAGGCGGAGCGGAGGCCGCGCGCGGCCGGCCGAGCGCCTTCAGGATGCTCATCAAGGAGTACCACATTCTGCTGCCCATGAGCCTGGACGAGTACCAGGTGGCCCAGCTCTACATGATCCAGGTGAGGGCGGCGGGAAACAGGAGACCAGGGGGGGCGATACTTCATGATGGGGTAACCCCACCTGGGACAAGGGGCCGGGCCCAGCCCAACACCCACCAGTCCTGCTCCGGGGCTTGGAAGGGCTCAGAGGCTAGAGGAGGAGAGAGAGGGCCCCCTTTGGATGCGGGGGGAAGGGTAAGTGCTGTGGGGAAAGGGACAGGAGGGCCTGAAGGTGCCTCCCTACCCCCAAGTGCCCAGCCGGTGGTGGACGCTCAGCCTACGTCTGATCTCCTTTAATCCTCCTTAGGATCTAATCCCATGGGGGTAAGGAAAGGAGAGCATGAGAAGTGTGAGGAGGGGTCCTAGGTGGTAGAGAAGCCTGGGAGGGAGTCCCCAGAGGGTAGGATCCTGGCAACCCCAGGAGGTCAGAGAGTGGGATGAGGATCAGGCCCCAAAACTGTGACAGAGAGGGGCAGGCAGGGACCCCAGAGGGTGAGGGAGGGGGCTAGGCTAAGAAGGGGCTAGAGTTCTGGGCTTGGGCTGTGAGCAGAATGAGCCAGGGCAGGCTCTCAGGGAGGGGAGAGGGTGGGTGCAGGCCCTCAGGGAGGCCTGTTCCAGATGTGTTCCCCAGAAACATAGGATCAGAGTCTGCGGAGGCAAGAGGGCCATGATCCAGCCTCAGGGGGTTGAGTGGGCCGAGTTCAGCTTCCAGGGCTATAAAAGGGCAGGATCTGGTGCTCTCAAACTATGAGAGTTGTGGCAGGAGCTGGTATTGGGGTCCCAGTGAGGGAGGGCACCAGGTCAGGTCCTCAGAGAGGTGGGCACTCCTTTTACTCTCCTCGATCCTTCCAGCCCACCCACCCTGGCTTCCTCACTGCCCTTGGAGCACATGCAGCATGCTCCCACCTCAGGAGAGCTTGCACTGGCTTCCCCTCTGCCTTGAGTACTTCCCCCGACCCCACATCGGCTTGGCACCCTCCCCTCGCTTTGTCACGTTCAAATCGTGGTCATGTTGTCTTCTCGGTGAGGCCTTCCGTGACCATCCCATCAAAATTGCAATCCCCAACTCGATCCCCCTTACCCTATTCTATGCTTTCTTCCATAGCCCTGCGCACCTTCTGATAGCAGATAATTTGCTTTTTTCTGTTATCTGTCTCCCTCTACTAGAAGGTATGTTCTGTGAGGGCAGGCAGGGGTCTTTGTTCTGTTCATCAACAGATCCCAATTAATACAATCCAAACAATGCCCGGAATAGAGCAGACACTCAATAAATACTTGAATGACTGAATGAGTGACAGGTTGCTGAACCCTGGGGGCGACTGGACAGTGGCTGTGATCCTGAGCCCAGGAGCTGCGGAGGGCCAGGGTCAGGTTTCAGGGAATTGGAAAGGCTGGGACTAGGGCCCCAGAGCTGTATAGGGGGCCAGGCCGAGCTGGGGACCCCAGGAGCTGAGGTGGAGCTGAGCAGCCTGTTCTGCTCTGCCCTGGGCTACAGAAAAAGAGCCGGGAGGAGTCGAGTGGTGAGGGCAGCGGTGTGGAGATCTTAGCCAACCAACCCTACACGGATGGGCCCGGCGGCAGCGGGCAGTACACACACAAGGTGTACCACGTGGGCTCCCACATCCCAGGCTGGTTCCGGGCGCTGCTGCCCAAGGCCGCCCTGCAGGTGGAGGAGGAATCCTGGAACGCTTATCCCTACACCCGAACCCGGTGAGTGGGTGGGGCAGGCCTGGGGACAAGAGGGGAACAGCCCTGGTGGCACAGTAGTGACCTTCACCCCTGCCCTCTGCCCAGGTACACCTGCCCCTTTGTGGAGAAATTCTCCATTGAAATAGAGACCTATTACCTGCCTGATGGGGGACAGCAGCCGAACGTCTTCAACCTGAGCGGGGCCGAGAGGAGACAGCGCATCCTGGGTGAGGCCTGGAGCCAGTGGGGGGACCCTGGAGACCCTCTTACGCCACCTCCCGCCTCGACAGGCAGCCTCTGACAAGTCCCAGGCTCTCCCCCTGCCTCGGCTTCCTGCCCGTGAAAGGCAGCCCTCCCAATCCCGAGGTGGGGAAGGGGCGGCAGGGGCTGGAGGGTGCCGGTGTTGCTCAGTGCTGCTGGAACCCCCTCAGACACCATCGACATCGTGCGGGATGCCGTGGCCCCAGGCGAGTACAAAGCAGAAGAGGACCCCCGGCTGTACCGCTCGGCCAAGACGGGCCGAGGACCGCTGGCTGATGACTGGGCACGCACGGCGGCACAGACGGGACCCCTCATGTGCGCCTACAAGCTGTGCAAGGTCGAGTTCCGCTACTGGGGCATGCAGGCCAAGATTGAGCAGTTCATCCACGATGTCGGTGAGCGCCCAGCCTCGGGAGGTTCCGTCTACCCAGCATGCCCCGGGCCCCGGCTTTGAGCCATGGATGAGCCATAGATGTCTACTGGGGACACAGAAGCCTAAAGCCATCATTTCCATTTGATGTGTGAGCGCTGAGGCAGAGGGGAGCAGC